CGGCTAAAAAGAAGGAGCACAGCTCGTGTCAAGTTGGTAAATTAGGAAGCTCACACGTCCACCCAGGAAAGTAAAATGAAGAAGCTAATGACCTTTTCAGTCACTTGCAAGCATAAGATCTCTATAAGAATAAGATCCCTATAAAAAATGGCAAAATAACGACTTAAGAAGCTATGTCAGCTTTGGTATTACACCCTAAAACAGTTGGGAATAAAAGAAAGCCTTGAAATAATGGTTCAGTTTAATTAAAAATTACTCGACTACTTTGCCTTAACTATAACTTAACTTCTTTCGAAAGCCAGGATAGAAACAGATTGCAATTTGAAAAATTGTGGAATTATGACCAAAAACTATGATTTCCTTGTTTTCCCTTTCGATAAAATCATTTTATATCTTTCTTTTAGAGTTCCAAGTATGACGGAAAGATAACTGAGACAGAGAATCCTTAGTTATCTCTAGTTATATCAAATCTCAGCCCAGCTTTGACCAAAAAAAGGAACCAATAATGACATACCCACTTAAAAATTAAGACGAGGGGATTTTTTTCATCCATATGCCACTGTAGCGTGGTCTCGCAACTGCTTTATTTTTTTTATAAGACAAACTGTTTCCTTAACAGTTTCAAGTCGCATCTGATTGGTGATTACATAAATAGCATGTCTAAATCAAAACAAAGTGTTAACGGTGTTTTGATTTGCAGGTTAATTTGCATGTCATGAAAACATTTTTATCACAAAATCAGAGATGGTTTTTTTCAAGATTTGGTTTTTTATTACTCTAGAGGTTGGTGATGTTTAGTGCTGACCAAAAGGATCGCAGGAAACGCGAGAAATCTGACGCAATCTCGTCTTCTGGCCTGGCTTTTTGTCAGCAACGCTGACCAAAAAACCAGAAGACTGATTTTGATGCAATTTTAATTACCAACTTGCACAGAAATGTTTTTGTAAAGTTTGAAAATAGATAGCTCTCTATTGTCTAGTTAAGGTAAAAAAACCACTCCAAAAACCGTGTACGAACAATCTTGCTCAACGTCGGATCCAAAAAGATCGTGATCAGTCAAAATATATAACTTAAAACGTTACAGTCAAGAAGACTTTTGCAGGGACTGATCAAACAACGTGAAATAGAGTTAAGTTAATAGAGTTAAGCTCTCTATTATCGTTATCTCTATTGTAAATAGCTATATTGTGGGTGTGAGTTTTCTTTTAATTTGTATTTTTGCGTTTTAGAGGGCCACAAGTTTGTCAGTAATTTTTAGTTACATTTACGAGTTACCCTCTCAAAATAAAAGTCTTTGCTACCTTCTTACCTACCTACCCACCCACCTACCTATCTACCTACCTAACAAATCACCCATCCAACCAACCACCCACCCACCTACCTACCTACCTACCTACCCACCCACCCAAAGTAAATTAACATCTCCCCAACCTACCAAACAACCAACCAGGATAAAGGGACAGAGAAGGCATCCCATACACGCCCCACCATAGGTAATTCGTCCGAGTTATTTTTAAGACCACAGATCCCCAGCCAATCACACCAAATGTGTTAACAAAAATCACCCATCCAACCTATTCGTTTTGTCGACGAAAAACCTAAACCCACCGAAATGGAAATTAAAAAAAGAATCGCCCCTTCCTTGTATAGAGCTAACAGTACCTACCTAACATACTGAATATTCTCTGAGGATCATTTACAATTTACCAACCTGGTTTGATATTTATTCTTTTATTAGTCTTTTATTATTCCAAAAATAACCTTGGTGTCCTACCAGTGATGAAATTTCTCATTTTATTAAAGCAATAGTTAAAATTTAACAGTTGTCCCCAGGGGCCCTTTTTTCCTTTTCCCGTCCCTTCAATACTCAGAAATGCTCTCGATCTCTTTACGCTTTCATTGGGACATATTTTTTTTCAAGAAACCCCCGTCCACAAGATTCTAAAAATCCGATATTTTTGAGTCTGTCCCCTTTAACTCTTGGTTTATCCGATATTTTTGAGTCTGCAACGTTTTCCTTGCGGATTCAAAAATTTTCACGTCCACACGCAGTATTCAAGTCGAATTTGCTCGTCCACACGTATCTGGATTCAGACTCAGCTCGTCGGCTAATTTGGGCCGGGAAAACAACATTCTTGTTAAAGAAAAGAGCGTAATTGATTTTTTTGCCCGTTTAATTTCAGCCGGAGTAGACTGAATTAAATAGACCGTCATTCACTCAAGGGGACGCAACATGTCGATAAATATGTAAGTATATAGGAGTGTCTCATACAGTTATTTTGACTAGAAAAGTCCAATGTGTGAACCCCAAAATAGGGTACAGTTATTAGTCTCACTTATTTTAGTAGCGAGACTCTAAAAATGCAAGCGTTTCCTTCCTCCTTTTTTGATTGTGTTCGCGCCATGAGGGGAATCATGGTCCCTAGCGTTACCAGCGGAGACCGTGGAAACTGGGGATAAGAATCGCGACTTGTCGCACTTGCATTGTATGCAAATGAGTCTTGTGATGAACATGCGTGGCGTATTTTCGGCAATGATTGAAATGACGCAACATATTCATCACGTTTTTGTTTTCTGGCAATGACGTAATTTATCTCGAATCGAGGCCCTTGATTTTCGCGTATGCATACACGCATACGATATTAAAAGTAAATACTCTGAATACTCGACCGTCGCTAAAGTAGGACGTGAAAGACTTTTAGCGAAGAATTTCTGGTTCGTGTAGAATTAATCGCCTCCTCATTTCTTATCTAATCTCTAAGCATGCGAGACTTAACACGTTTTGCGTTCTTTTTGATTTTGATTGCTACCTGTCACCGCATCACGGTATCCTAAGTTATGAAAGTAAATCCGCGACTACCAACGTAATGGGTACAGAGTGAGGCTAATAGCACTTTAGTAAAATCCAACTAGTGGTCTATTATCAATGCTGCATTCTGATTGGTTAAGCTACTACAAGGCTATATGTTATAGCCCACCGGTAGCGAAAAGCGCCAGTTTTTGGCGGCAAAAAAGGATTAAAGTCTAGCTTTAATTAGCTAAAATTTTTTTATTCTCGATATTTTTGACCAACTTGTTGGCCTCATGGGCTATTGACTCAGAGCCCATTCGGACTCGAGGAATAATTGTTAAATATGATGACATAACATCATTCGTTAAGATATCAAGGTACCAAGACAATTTCTGAGATATGAAATCTCTACAGAAATTTATTTAGAGTGATATTATTATATCACAGCATCTACAGAAGAGTTCGATGACAAGAGATATCAAAGCACCTAAATTTTCAAACCAGCCTTTCTAAGCAAACCTGTCATTCTATACTTTCCCACTATCTGAAGTCCTTTGTTCCTGGTCTGAGAAGATGGTTTATTTTTTAAGAAAATCATAAACTTTTCTAGGCGGGATCAAAGAAGGCAGAAAACTCAAGAATTCATTAATCAGTTTCTTTTGTCCTCTGCGAATGCTTTAAAATTTTGCTAATCAATTATCAGGAGACACGAGACGGGAAAACAAAAAAAAAGAAATTTCTAATATTTCTGAAAGTTACGATTGATCGAAAAAACCTTCAGTATTTGTTTTTGTTGCTTCTACAACATCAGTGACAGCTTACAGCGTTACCCTCACCGTCGTTCAAAAGTTTGTTTTCTTTATCTTCTCTGCGGCATCAAACGAGAAGAATATAACAACAAAAACAACTTTATTTGTACTCTACATTAATTTACAGTGATATAAAAAAATACTATAAAATCTAGAGGGAGTACAGGCTGACCATAATAACTATTTAGGGGTAAAATGATAGGGCAGCCTTACTTAGGTTATTAATGAATGATTATATTAAGGTTCAGGTACCACAAAAAAGAAAAGAGAAAGAAAAAGCAGAAAAAGAAAACTAAGTGTGCCAGTATTAAGCAACGGAGGACAACCTAGTGTTATATGTATGTATGTTCCTAACAGGATTAAAGAAAGTTATTAAAAACGGACGGTAAAAGTTGGTTATGGAACTTATACATAAACACTGCAAGTTGGAGGGTAATGATATCAGACAGCTTTATAACATTCAAGTCTTTAAAACCTCAAAAACCTCAGAGCAGGGCTCCCCTTCAGATATAAACTAATATGGGCCGCGATTTAGGTTATGGCAAGTTTATGGTTTAAGTTTTTATCTCAAAAAGGGAATTAAATTTTATCATTTTCGTCCAACATCATGTGTGAATTTTTAAGATGAACCCACAAAAGCCAGCCATCCAAAATGATAGTCTTTTTTGTCGCTTCATCTTTAGAAAAAAGAGGAACAATATCAGCCTAGTCCCCAGGCCTTCTCCGTTCAGTCAAACATGGACCGTACGTGACGTCAATGAAAGAGACTAGAACAGACCCATTCCCAGACTTTGTTCGGACAACGAGGCAAGAGAGACTGCCTGGGGACTAGGCTGGGGTGGAATAACTAATAGTATAGCGTGTGGGATTATGGGAACTTCATGACCTGCGATATACAGCATAAAGTACAAATTCAAAAGCATGGGGCCGAGGCTTATGGTTTGCCAGCTGTATAGAACGAACTGTTCAGTGATTACAAAACTTTAAGACTAGAGCATTTGGTGTTCTGTTCTCACTAGCAAACGTGGTAACATATTCGAAACAATTAACAGAAGATTGTAATCCGTTTTCAGTTAAAAAATGACATAATCTTGAACTATTACCATTACAAATAATGTACGATGTGCGGGGGTTTGATTATTCTCAAGAACGATGGGTGGATTTTATGACCAAATCTTCTTCTCGTTATATTGTTTTTTCGGCTTTATTTTCTTAGAGAGTTTCATATGGATAACAAAGACGAAGTTCTGCTGACAGGTCTTCTTCTCGTTTCCCTATATCTTCGCAAGACAAATCGCGTTCCAAACGCTATCGAGATGTGTAAAGACATTTTGTTTCTTCTCGAGCATAAGACACTGGGAAATATGGACGAAAAGTGTGTCAAAAGTTTCGAGAATGTTCACAGTCATCCAATAAAATGCGGCACAAAACGTCTCTTCACTTTTCGACAAGTTTTCGAGAGAAAAGTGGAACTAAGCACAACCTGTATACTGGCAGAATTATACGAAAGTCAACGAAAATATAATGAAGCAAAAGGGCTTCAGTTCAAAGCACTTGAAAAGGCAGAGAAAATTGGCCACAGGGAAACAGAAGCCAAATGCTATTTAAACCTAGGACATATCTTTGCTTCACTCAGTGAATATGTCAAGGCTAAAGAACATTCCGAAAAAGGACTTGCAATCGCAGAGAAAATTGGCGACAGGGAAACAGAAGCCAAATGCTATGTAAACCTAGGACTTATCTTTAAGCATCTCGGTGAATATGTCAAGGCTAAAGAACATTCCGAAAAAGGACTTGCAATCGCAGAGAAAATTGGCGACAGGGAAACAGAAGCCACGTGCTATGGAACTCTGGGAACTATCTTTAATGATCTCGGTGAATATGTCAAGGCTAAAGAACATTACGAAAAAGGACTTGCAATCGCAGAGAAAATTGGCGACAGGGAAACAGAAGCCAAATGCTATATAAACCTAGGACTTATCTTTAAGCATCTCGGTGAATATGTCAAGGCTAAAGAACATTCCGAAAAAGGACTTGCAATCGCAGAGAAAATTGGCGACAGGGAAACAGAAGCCAAATGCAGTGTAAACCTAGGACATATCTTTGCTTCACTTAGTGAATATGTCAAGGCTAAAGAACATTCCGAAAAAGGACTTGCAATCGCAGAGAAAATTGGCGACAGGGAAACAGAAGCCACATGCTATGTAAACCTAGGATCTATCTTTACGCATCTCGGTGAATATGTCAAGGCTAAAGAACATTCCGAAAAAGGACTTGCAATCGCAGAGAAAATTGGCGACAGGGGAATAGAAGCCACTTGCTGTCGAAACCTAGGAAATCTCTTTTATTCTCTTGATGAACATGTCAAGGCTAAAGAACATTATGAAAAAGCACTTGCAATCGTTGCAGTCTCAGAGAAAATCGACGACAGGGAAATAGAAGGCAGTTGCTATCTAAACCTTGGAAGTCTGTTTTGTTCGCTCGGTGAATATGTCAAGGCTAAAGAATGCCTCGAAAAAGCCCTTGTATTGGACGAAAAGTGTGGGGACATCGAAGGCGAGTCACTTTGTCACTTTCTTCTTTCAGTTTGTATGTTTAAAGAAGGCAACACATCTGAAGGTAAATCAAATGCCTTTGTCAGTTTGAATAAGGTAGAAGGTATTCGACGTCTCCAGGTGCATGATAAATTCAAGATATCGTATTTTGACGGAAAGGTTAGTAACTACCGAGTGCTCAGTCAATTTCTTTGTGCTGACTTCCCAAACGAAGCTTTTAAAATAGAAGAATTTGGGCGAGCCAGGGCCCTTACAGACTTAATGTCAGCTCGGTACTCTGTAGAAAACGAAATACCAGTCAGTCTACAAACATGGTATGATGTTGAAAGTATCGTCAAGAAAGAATCCAACTGTGCTTGTCTTTATATGTCATACTTAGGACAACTGATAAATTTGTGGGTTGTTCAAGCAGAAAACCCTTTAATTTTCCGGCAAATTAGGGTCAATGATGTTTTTGGATCAGTAAGCAGAGTGGCTGACTTGCTTTGTCGCGAAATTTACAGAGAAGTACTTTTTTTAGCTCCTGAACAGTGCGAGGATCGATCCTGGTTTCCCTCAAACGCTTACTCGGAGCAGGGGTGTGAACGTCCAATTGTAGAAGAAGATGAGAATGAAAACCAGCAACCCGAGCTTACTCCTGCTTATGCCTACAAAATGGTCATTGCTCCTGTAGCCGACTATCTTAATGAGCCTGAAATCATCATTGTTCCTGATCGCCTCTTTTACAAAGTTCCATTTGCAGCGCTGGAAGAAGAAAGTGGAAAGTATTTAGCAGAGTCTTTCAGGATCCGCATCGTTCCCTCTTTGACGACTCTAAAGCTTATTCAGGACAGTCCGCCAGACTATCACAGTCAGACTGGTGTGCTGATAGTGGGGGACCCTCATGTTGGTGACGTGTTGTACAAGGGAATTCTTCGGCAGATATCGAGGCTGTCTTTTGCAAATATGGAAGCAAAGATGATTGGAAAACTGTTCGGTACTCAACCTCTGCTCGGAAAACAAGCTACAAAGCAGGCGGTCCTTCAAAACATTCATTCTGTGTCTCTGATACATTTTGCTTGTCACGGTAATGCTGAAAGAGGTGAAATTATTCTTGCTCCTCCACCCCTCACTGATAGGAGACCTCAAGAAGAAGACTACTTATTGACTATGGAGAACATTTCGAAAGTTCAACTGCGAGCCAAACTGGTGGTCCTTAGCTGCTGTCACAGTGCAGAAGGACAAACCAGTGCCGAGGGAGTTGTTGGAATTGCTCGCGCATTTTTAGGATCCGGCGCACGCTCAGTGTTGGCGGCACTGTGGGCCATAGAAGACGAAGCAACAGAGCAGTTCATGAGTCGTTTCTATGAGAGTCTTGTTCGTGGGAAAAGCGCCAGTGAATCCCTTCAACAGGCCATGAAGTGGATGAGAGAAAACGGTTTTTCCGAGGTGACGCAGTGGGCGCCATTTATGCTTATTGGAGACAACGTGACGTTGGATATTCGCAAGTTGAGGTCATGGAAAGGACAGTAGAAGCGATGGTCCTTTTTCCCAACTCCCTCGTGTTTGTCCTTGCAAATACAGGATTAAATTCGAATTTTTGTTAATTAAATAATAAACGTGGGACTGATTTGTTCAGTACAACAGTAAAAATGTCAAATATATACTAGGTTTAAATAATTGACTTTTTGATACCTTAATACAATAAGAGAAGCATTTTGAAATAACCCACATACAGTTGTCACTTATGATAACTTTTCAACTCACGTTCATTTGAGGTTATTTGTTACAATGATTTTTAATACCTTTTAGACAGTCTCCTGATGTCAGAGTTATAACTAATTGTTTACAGTTTCTTCTTGTTAGGAGGAAACATTTATTAGTTGTTTCTCGAGGAATATTCACTTGTAAATAACAGGACACTTGCGTCTTACAATACACATGTTTGTGTCCCAGATGAGATGTAGTTTAAGAAGTTGCACGACTTGAATGAGTCGTTACCGACTTGAAAACCGCTCTCTCTCTTCTCTCTGCCAATTCTTATTCTAAGGGTCGCTATAATGAGATAGGGTTTAACGTTTAGTAACACCTTATATTATTTCACTGAAATTTATCCTATTCACCACCTGTACGAATCGTACAAATGCACTAAAGGCTTTACTCACGATCGCGATTTGTACCACTCGTACAAGTTGTAGCAATCGGAATCACGATACAAATTCACGACTTGAACAAGCAGTGAGTATTGCACACCCTCAAACAAAATGACATTTATCAGTCACAAACTTTAAGGGTGGAAACAAGTAGGTACGACAATATACTTCGTTAAGAAAATTTATGTAGTCACTGCAACTGTAACAAAACTGAAGATGAAACTCATTTGTTATTAAATTGCTTAAGCTACTCGTCGACAAGAAACATTATCTTCAATTTCTAAAACAGTTTCTAAAGCCCCATTTCTATGACTACTATCAAATAAGACCTTGTAATCAAATCCAATGGATTGCCCTTATGCATGTTTACGACAGACGAATAAATTTAAGGATCAAGCCATGTTTTGCCGACAATGAACGTTAAGAAGTCTTCCATATATGAATTCCAAGACAGTACGCACGACTACAGAATTTTGTTCACAAAAGAGGCTTGGTGATGAAAATTGCAAGTCTGACATAAAGATGCATCAGAGCCATTCTACTGACTTATTTTATAAACATTCAATTAATTTCTTTCATCTCATCATGCTTTGAACTGAGAGACAAACTGGGCTTCGAAATAACTACTCTTAAGAATGGTTAAAAATAAGTGATGATTGAATTTTTTCTCTTTTCTTATTTCAAAATTATTTTAATTAATTAAATAATTAAGAATTAAGCTGTTACAGTCATGTAAAGAAAGTTTGTTGTTGTTATTCTAGACTGAAGATGGCTTGTCGTCTGTAGAGGGTGAGGGTGGGGTAAGGGGTGTCACTTGGATGGGTGATAGGCATGTCCAGATTGCACTGGAAAATTCGCGAAAAAGTGCTCAAAACATGGCAAAATAGCGCTCAGATAGTACTCGAATTTTTGAAAAAAGTGCTTGAAATTTAGAAATAGTGCTCGAAAGTTGCTCGAAGTTTTTAATTATTTCCTAGCAGATGTTCATAAAATATTTTTAGTTTTATCAAAGCTTTGACCCTCGATTTTCTAATAGGTGACCTTAGAAGTGAAACACCAATGTCTTTCGAGCAAAAACTCTTTATTAAAATAAAAACCTAAGATCTACTCAGTCAAGGTCTTCAATCGTTAAGTCAGCATAGTTTCTAAAGCACTCCAAATTCCTAACACAGTCTGGCTCAGCGAATAGCAAACGCGACGACTACTAAGAAATGTTATGGATTGGCATCATCTCCATTTCGAGTGGCAAGCGAACGCGCGATTGAGCCGTGGGGTAGGGGCGGTGGGGGGCAGGGGGGAGAAAAGAAGAGCTCTCCTTTTCTTTCCCGCACCTTGCTCTGGCATGCCACTTGCGCGTGACTACCCTTATGATTGATACATTTCAGTGTCATTATTTTCATTATTTCACCCGAATTATTAAACTTCATCTTTTAATTGTTTTTTTTTTAAATTCCTGAAGTAGAAAAGTCTCGAAACGGAAAAGGAATTTACTAGCTGAAGTCTTTGCTTGGGAAAGCCATGACAATAGGTATGCAACAAATGTTGAAAACAGCAACAAGATGACGGAAGGAACCTAAGTGGTAACTTTGCCTGTGACCCCTGAACCAACCTTACCTGCTTTAAAGCACTAAGGACCAGTTCAAACGTCGAACGTTTCATATACCGAACCTAATCCCTTTAATTGGGTACATGAAGAGATCAACGTTTGAATCAATTAAGTCCGATAGGTCTAATTTGGGTCCACCCATGAATTAAGATCAAGTGGCCCACATCAGTGCTGTCAACTCTCCTGTATAATTTTGTAGACTCCAGATTTTGAACCGTATCTGCCGATCTCCAGATTAGAGTCTGAAATCTCCCGGATAATCGCCGGAGTTTGCCATTTCTTCAGAGGACTCGACTTTGCAACAATGAAATTTCAAATATTTTGCGTTGTTTGAGCCATTTTTTGTTAACATCGAACTTTTCCTCATAGACGCCGATATGCCATTGTAACATAAACAGTAATGTGATTGGTGAGAAAAAATAATCGGGTCAAATTTAACAATGCCAACAACATCTTTTTCACGCGGTTTGTGGCATCGCAGATATTCGTGACGATCGGAGTCAACGACTGTTTTTTGCACAATTAACGTCATGTGCCATGCTTTATGACGTCATCTATCATCCCTTCCCTATCAATTTTCAATATTTCGGGGTTGACAGCCCTGCACACATAGAAACTTTGACTGGGGAACGACCTCGTTTCAAACTTCGAACTTCTCATGTGCCGAACCTAATGCATAAATTACTAAAATTTACTTTCACTGGTAATCATTGTAGACCATTGAACATAGTGAAAATGAATGGAATCCAACCGGGGGTACGCGACTCCAATACGCCTGGTACTTTTTTCGTACACCTATGATCCACCGATATATGAAATCACATCCAGTTGCAAAGTTGCTGCTCTGTTTTGGCGCGAAGCACCAAGATGGACGCCCGATGCTATTTGGTTTCCATTCTCCTCGGATGAAGCGTTGTAAATCGGCGGATCTTATATTTCACGGTCAATTTCTATATATGTGGGGCAAGGTGAGTCCAAACCGTTTTTCCAGATTTCAACTTAGTAAGTGTTTTTATAGGAAAAAATATATTTATTATGGAAAATCTGACCGATTTCGGTAAAAATTGGTGGCAAAGGGGTTGTACGTATCACGCATCACGCTAATTTTTTTTTAGGCCATCACTCATCACAGGGAAAAAAATTAGCTATCACGAATGTCTGCGTGGACGGCTAGAGGGCTATTTTTTAATTAGTTAACATGGTAATATCTCAACTCATTGATCAATAGTACAAAAGGGTGTCTGGCGTTTGTGATATGTGTTTTTAATGTCTGCTTCTGCTTTCAAATAATATTCACCATGCAATCACGGAAATCTAAAAGAAATGATCACGCTTCACGCCTTATAAAAATAGCAAATGACGCAACACTCTACTATGCCCAATCTTGGGCCCGATTATACATCACACTGATAATTTGGGACCCATCACGCGTCACGGAAAACCCCTTTGCCACCCTGAGGGTCGTACAAGGAGGTCCCAGGTAGGGTTCAAGGACCAAAAAAATGACTAATCACGAATCACGGATATTAAAATTTCATTTTCACGAATCACGATAATCAGCATTTGAACCACTCCTTGATCTTGTTTTTGCGCAAAAAAAAAAAAGTTGCGAAGAGGTGTCTGAAAACACAGCAAAGGGACGACAAGGAAAAGAAAGACCTACAATTGCAAATTACAGACTTTGGAGATAACTCTAACCATTCGTTCACCACGTGTAGTGACGGCTCGAAGAAACATTAAATTGTCATCGTCACTATCTGCCGTAGGATCGTTAGAATCTGAATCTGTGTCGCACTCCTCCTCATCCTCTTGACCCCTGCTTCGTCTATTGCTTACCAATCAACGACTTCGTCAGTATCTTCGTATTACATGGAAGTCATAGGTATCGTAGCAAAGAGAACAGACTGCTAATCGAATGCATATGGGCTGAACGAAACTTTTCTTTTCGGATAGTCAGAAGCTCGGTACATGTTTAATGGCAGGTTCCCCGATATTAAAAATTGTTGCCTCTTGCCTCACACTCCCCTGTCGCACCGCTTGTCCATTGCTTGCCGCCCAATCCATCATGAGTTCTTGTTCCTGTCTGTTAAGCTGTCTAATTGCCTCGAGATGTTCCAGTCTCGGGAAAACACCTCACTACCTTCTTTTCCTTTTTCCAGACGAATGAATTTGAGCTCCGTGCTTCGGTCTTTAATTCCACGAATTCTTTGAGTTTTTTTTCTCAACACTATTAGCGAAGAGTGTTCAATTGTTAGAGAAAAGCGAATACTTTCCCTTCCAAGGAAAGACATTGAACCCACGGAATTTGGGTCAACGTAAAATATTACGCATTCAATTGAAAATATGTTACCCGTTTGCCCTGCCATGTTTTCAATGACAATGGTCTCCAATTTTGGCGATCAATTCCTTCGTGGACTTTACGAGTCTTCCGAAGTATCTACCAAGAATAGCGAAGTCCATGTAAGAGTCATTCAAGATAAGTGTACGTTATTTTTACGACAATTGTCTCATTTGCTGATTCACAGTGTTTACTCATCTTTCGGAGATCTTAAAATTGAAAATCAAGAGAAAAGTACGTAATGAAATGACGATTATCGATCACCAATTTGAGTTTTTTACGGGGCACGCTCAAATTTTTGGTCACGGAACACGAGGAACAATTTATTAAATTCACGATTCACGAAAAATAAACACGGCTAATCACGAATCGCGAAAATACCCCTGTACTACCCTCGTCTTCTTTTTGCTAATTATGCGTGCCAGGTTATGTGCTCCTGGAGTGCACGTGCAAAACCGCTGTTCTTTAAAAGAACTGTTTATCAAAAAAAAAAAAAGGAAAAAAACGGAAAGAAAGGGAATCTGAGAACATGTATCTCAGCGTTGAAATCCGCTGTCACATTTCGCGTTTGATTGCAAATCCAAAATCCGGAATTCCCAATCGAACGCACCGTACCCATACTGAGTCTTCAAAGATGGAAATAGACACCTGTTAGGATCTCAGTAATCTCCAGCTGGGTCATCATCATTGATTAACATTTGTCTTCGGGCAACCTCCTTTTTTTATTAATCTTGCAAAGGGAGTTCTAATATTATATCTGGGCGAGGTTTGAAGCTCCCGACTTACTTAAGAAATGTGCAGGGAACAATTTTAAGCAAATTATGTGTTCTGTTTTTTTGTATTCATGAAATGGCCGTTTTCTTAATTCATAACTTAAACAGTTGTCATGGTATTAGCATAAACTGATCTCCACTGACTCAATTATACTGAGAGACCTATTTTATGCTCAGAATAGTTTGTGTCATAATGAAATTCAATTCAATTCAAAGACTGTATCTGAAGCTATTTTACCGCGAATTCTTCACCGAGGATGACACAAAATGACACGCCTTTCGTTTTTCACCGCGTTAATTTCCCTGGTAAACAACCTAAACGGTTAAAAAAATTTCCTATCCTTTCCAGACTTCAAATTGCGTAATTACGCAGAAAAAATGTCGGGAGAGGACTCAATGGAAGCACTATCAAACAGCTGAATGTGACATCAGAAATGTCTTGTCAAATTGAATGTGTGGCCATAGGCGTACGGGCAATTTTTTGCCAGAGGGGGCGGTAAACCATTTGCCCCAAAAATTATCACAAGTTGGCCAAATTTTTACGAAACAGTCGTCTACGAAAAGAAACTAGGGCCATACTAGCTGGCAAATGAAGGTGGCTAGATACAGTTTTTCAGGGTCAATACCTTCCAAGTTCGAGCGTAAACTATGTCGCCATAAACAAACATTGAGAAAAATTACCACCAGTTGTATTAGATGACGATGAAATTCGTCATGATCAGGGTTGCTGATCGGAGTTGTAATAGCAACAAAATGACGCCATTACCTAACGCCATCACTTACAGCAATTGTTTTTGGCACCGGGAACTGTTCTTACAAAATCGTTCACGGGAGCTTTTTTTCAGGGGCACCCAACGAGAATATAGTTCAAAACCATTTAAACATAGCATTGTTAAACGTATTTTAGTATTTAAACGGTAGATACAGGCATATTTTTATCCCCTAAAAATTTTTCATCTGTTCGGATTTCCTAGCTGAAAGTCTAGTGATCCGAAAATTATAGGAATCAAAACTTACCTTTTTGAAAATTTCAGCCAGAAAAAAGGCTTCCGAAAATTCTGGGTGACCTTTTTAGGGTAAAAATCCGTTAAAAATAGGCAAATATACCATTTTTTGGATGTTCGAAAATCCTAGGAGAGGCAGGCAAGCAAGAAATTTTACAACAAATTTTTCGAAAATTCTAGTTCTCAAATCGTCTTCCGAACAGATATTCTTCCGAAAATTGTCGTTGGGTGCCCCTGTTTTTTCTCCAATACGGTCGCATTGATGTTCGTGAAGTTAAAGGGGAATCTGTAAGAGCTAGCGTTATCGAGATATTTTGGGGTGAAAATTTTATCGTACGGTAAAAAAGGAAAAATCTTGATGTTTGGCCGTTACCTGTAGAAAAAGAGGCGCTTTTGACCATGCAACTTCACCTCATAGTGCGTAGTTTTAATCTTGTTAAAAACACTTGCGAAAGATCGTGCCTATTTTAGAAAGAAGGATTTGATAAGTATGTATCGAGGCACTCTTGTTAGTGGTTTTGTAAACATTTCGGTCTACTTTAGCAAATGAGCGAATAATTTTTAGCCACTCGATAGGTTTTTTTTGAAAAAATAATATTCTTCTCGTAATTCAACCCGAGACTGAGAATTAGTCAGCCTCTTCTTCATTTTCAGACCTATTGCTAATGCTATGTGCCGTACACTGTTGAAACCTCCTTCACTCCGACACTAGCACAGGGTCTGAATGACCATGTCGGCATTTCTAGGAGTGGAGAGGACTCTAGAAAGGTATGCGGAAGTTTTTTTGGAAGTAGGCCATTCCAGCGAGTGTGCGTAGTACAGTGCCCAACAATAAAAAACTACAAATATATAAATCAACATATGATACCCTTCCCTAATAACCAGAAACTCATCACGTGGTAGGCAACCACTGTCTCGTGTGAATGTAACTGGATTATTACGCCAACTTCAAGTTAAAATAGGAAATATTTATCTCCTCAAAATAATAAAAAAGCATGGAAATGTCTTTAAAAACTGGCTTTGCCCAATTTTTCTCTTGTTGCCCAAAAAATCTGAGTTGCCCAAAATTTGGGGGGCTGCAGCCCCCCTCGCCCCCCGGCCCGTACGCCTATGTGTGTGGCAGATAACCGCTGTTTATCGTACAACTTAATTACGATTCTAGGCATGGATGTATTAATCTGTGAGCTCAATGACTCTGATAGATTTGTTGGGTATGTTGGGGGCATCTACAGAGGATTAGAGGTAAAAGTAACCGAGGAGCTAATTTGTTTCATGTAAGTAAATATGTATAGCGCTAAAACCCTAGCTGTTTGAATAAGCCTAACTTAATCTTACCTAAGGTACTATTCAAAAGTTAAATGTCTGTTTCTTAATAAATTGTGTGTGTTGTTGTTGTTGTTGGGTTTAGATCTAATTTGAATAAGGTATGCTGGTAGTGAATCTAATTCCTGTAATATGAAAAGAAAAACAGAGAATTATTGCGTGGCGTTATAAAGCTCTTTTTGAGATGGCATATTGCAGAATCGCAGCTATATTAACTTCGATTCTTTATAGCCTACTCACATAAAAAGAATTTTTCTTGTGCGTAATATTGTTATAATGGAGTACTTGTCGATAAATGTGTAGCTATTTTTCAGAGTATCTGTGAAAGAGAATCACCGTGTGCGAACGATGAAGTGTGCATTCCTGATCATGAAGATGACGCTAGACATTTCTGCAAATGTATAGGTCGGTAAACAAAACAAGAATTAAATTAATACTTTGCCAACTCCATGAGAGCAGAGCTTTTTAACAGCCCCCTGCCGTCCCCCCCACAAAAACAATCGTGACATGTCATGATTCTTGTTTTGCAAACTGTGGTTTTCCCTAAAAGACCTTAAGACAAATGATAATCGCTGAGGAGCGAGAAAGTTCCTGTCAGTACCAAGGCAAAAAGGTTTTCAGTACTCAGTTTGATGAGATCAATTTTATTTATTTACTGTTGTTGTGAAAGAAATACCACAAAGAAATTGAATTTGTTACGTCTCAGTTATGCCAAGTTGGCCTATGTAAGCTAATCAGAGATACTCTTGCAATCTGGATTCCACTAAGAGACTTTTGGATTCCGGATTCCAATTGTAAGCGGGATTCCGGATTCCTTGAGCTGTATGCCGGACTCCACAAGAGAAAAATTCTCGGATTCCGGGATACGGATTGCCTTACAGGAGGCGAAACAACTGTATTTACGTCTGTACAAGAATGAAGTGCACCTTGTTAGTTATCCCCGATGTTAATACAATTGTGGCGTTGGGTCGCTGAGGGGAATGCAGCAGTAGACCAAAACAGAGGTGATTAGGATAGTTGGAGTTTCAAAACCCGATGTTTCAGCAAGCAATAGCCCTTAGTCAGAGAGATTCGGTTTCCTTTGACTAGCCTGAGTATAGGCAGGTGTTTCTCGAAAAAGGGGGAAGAGCTGGGAGATGGGAACAGTGGAGACAGCGAAGGGATAGAAACAAAAATCTCCGCTCTCCTCACCCCTAAGGAGCACCTGATACTCAAGCTTCGCTCCGACGGTTGGCTATATATCGTTCGAAATGTTAGGTTTTCAATCTTTTCAATCTGTTTACTATGGTAATTGACTTACTAGTAGTCAAACTAGCTTATGGAACAAAATTTTTGCATTTAATCTGTAGTTGCTTTCCGTCGGATCAACGCGGATTCCAGCACTGATCTTTTTTGTTGAAAAACTGAAGCAGATTTTCCCAACGCGGACTATCTCACTTTTACTATTCGTACCCTTAATCACTTAAGGCCTCATACAATGGTTTTCCAATTCAGAATACCCAATGCATTGTCAAGACCTTTACTTAAAGGGTTCCACGACTGATGGGGTGTACTTGGTTTACCCTGACAACGAAGAACCCATTAAAGTGCTGTGTGACATGACAACTGAGAGCGGTGGATGGACAGTCTTTCAAAGACGAATGGATGGATCGGTGTTCTTCTACTTGGGATGGGAAGACTACAGAGTGGGATTTGGAAATCTGAACGGGGAGTTCTGGTTAGGGAATGATAATCTTCACCGTCTGACTGCAAATTCTGATTTGATGCTCTGAGTTGATTTGGTGGATTACGATGGTGTACGAAAATATGCCGAGTACACGACATTCTCTGTAGCTGACGTGAACGACAACTATCGAATGACGATTTACGGATATAATGGCAACGCGGGTGATTCGATGGTCGTGTGTAGTAGGCCAGCTAAGTACGTAATAGCAAAACATTAAACAATCATTGTATTGAGATAAAGCAGAAACTCATAACAAAAACATCTAGAGTTCACAAGTTCTATAAAAGCTCTTTCTATTCACTCGAAAACTAGCATACCTGCGCGTAAACATATCTTCTAATACTTAAAATGGTTATACTGCGGAAAATCAGGCATGATCCCAGGCTAGTTTTCGATTTTTTCGTATAAATTGAATTAGAATTAAATTAGAATTATAAATATATTAAGGTTAATGATGTCCCTGTTCTTGTATCGGTTCTCATTCGCATTACTGTTCCTGTTCCTGTTCCGTCTCCAGTTCCGGTTCCGGTTCTCGTTCCCATTCCCGATTCCGGTTTCCTGCTTTTCCAGACGCCCCACTGAAGTTGCCTTTTAGTTTAGTTCTGAATTAATATAAGCAGTGAACGTTAACCTTCAAGAGATCTAAGGGCAACTAGATTTGAGTCAGGCATCGCACAGAATGGCTTTCTTACAGTAAAAGTTTTAGATTTAGAAATACATTTTGATGACAAGGTGTTCACTGGATGACTTTCATTGGCGAAGTGAGTTTTAATACACACGTTTTCCATACTTCAACCTTAATGGGACTGACGTAAGATAACATAAGAGAGACTCCTGGAATGAGGCTAGGAAAAAAATTATTGGATAAGATTTCTGTGATATAAAGACATTATTGTTATACTGAGAGGTGGTCATGATATGCTGAACTCGCTTTCCTTCTAAAGAAACTCCTGTGTATTCAGCTGTCTATTTACTGTTAATGCCTAATTGAAGAAGGGCGGAGTTGTCTTTTAGTTTTTACTTCATTAATGTCTTATCCATAAAATCGTTTCCCCTGTTTTCAGATCTTAAGAAGAAGCTGTTTTTTTTCTTTCACTTATTAAATGAGTTTTTGATCCCTAACTTAAACCTACGTTTTTGATACGAATAAACTAAAACAGTGAAACTTATGCATGCAATATTGTCATCGCGCGTCATCATGAACTTTGTTTTAAGTTTCAAGGTTTTTAGCTTAAGGGCTAATTCCTTTACACTGAAATGCTGAATCCATATAAAAAAAGAATTAAAAAAGAAAAATTATATAAAATAATACAAAAAGTTCCAAAAATTTATAAAATTCATCCCAAAACATTTTGTCGTCGTAAAAACAACCCACCAAGTTTCGGCCTCGGTTAAAACTCATGCTTTTTCTTGAAAGCTTAAAAAAGCCGATCAATAAGTCGTTACTGGTACATCTCACCCTATCAATTGGAAACCAGTATCTTGTTTGTTAGCAAAACGAAGTTATTCAATAAATAATGAGCTCAGGATAAAAGCCTATTTCGTTTATTACAGCAATAATTGATCATTCTTTTGACGAGAAATGCAACTTTTAGGTAACAACTAGACTGCGTACCGCTAGACGCAGCATAAAAATGTAGTTTGATGACGGCTGAAACAATGGACAAGTTGGAGAAAAACCAGCTTTCAAATACCATTCGGATGGAAGTGTGATGCGGTCATCATTAAACACATGTTACTTGGAATCCGTTTTGATTTGACGCTGGAAGAAGCCTTTTGGACACTGGTGAACTGGGCAAACAAGGCAAACAATGCCCGTAATTGCCCCACCAAAGCGTTACGTGTTGTCTGGAATGATTTTTGTTGGTTTTTTTGTTATGTCTGGTTTACGAGTCAACTTGAACGTAGCTATCGGCGCCATGGTTAAAAATCACACGGCAGTGGTGGACGGACAGACCATTTGTAGGGTAAGCCTGTATAAAAAATATTCCTCTATTTATGTCCCATTCATGATAAACGTATTGCTTTGAACTTTATTTTCCCATTATCATTATATATAAATTCAGCGACAAAGTCGGGTACAAACTGTTCCCGACATCTTTAGTTCTTGAAATAAGGACTCATTTTAAAACGGAAACGTTAAACAACCGGTGGTATATTGTATGGCGAAACTGAACGCTTTCAAGAATATAGAATAGATCTTAGATTGAATTTGCCATTGGCTTTACGAAAGGACTACTTGAGATCAGAAATATTTTTAGAAGAGAAACACTTTTGAAATGTTCAATAGACCTTTTTACCGATACGGCGGCCATATTGCATTTATTAGATTTAAGGAGTATTATGGGATGCCCTGGGGGAACTTGCTCAGTATTTACGCGCTTTTCGGGCGAAAAGAGAACTTCAATGTATATTTCTCGGGGAAAAGGCGATCATTATTACATCGAAACACTGCACAACAATCCCTTTTTTCCCATTACAACCTTTTTCTAGGAAATCTAAAAGAAAAATAGGCCAGCGTAAATACTGAGCGAGTCTATATCGGATCGAGCTCATGCCCCCTGGGCATCCAATAATACTCCTTAAATCTTATTAATTCAATATGGCCGCCGTATTGGTAAAAAGGTCTAGTAAATTTTCAACTTCATTTCTGAATATTGCAGCTAAATTCAAAATGTTACTCTCTTTCCGTTAGAATTCACCTCATTCGAAAAAGTTTTTACACTCGTCGCCATTAGCTCAACAAACTCGCTTTGTCAAATCGCCGCATCATTTTTCAAACTCGACCTCATATATTTCAACCCAACTTTTGAATTTTCGTTACGCTTCAAGCCTTTTCGGGGATGGGAGATGGCGACCGATTGATCTCCTCCCCAGGCCCTTTCTGCTTTTTCGTCCATCATGCTAGTTGGTAGGCAACACTCGACTTCTACTTCATGCCAAAATGTAAACACCCTCACGAGGTCAGTGAAAATAGAATCGAAAGAGCAATCACCAAGGAGTAACCTTATTTTTATTATCAGCCTGATCGTAAACGGGAGAAGAAGAAATTCCGTCAGCTTTCGATTCCCGGATTAGGTCCCAGATCTCAAAATGATTAAAGTAAACTCAACAAGACTTATTTTTTAGTTCGTTAGTTAGCAAAGCTCTTCTGTTTCACTAAAAACTATCAAATGAATTCGAAATAGCTCATTTGCATTGTAACATAGTTTCATTTCATTTTTCTGTCCATAAGTTACCGAAAATGGAGAGTCTTGTTAACAACGGAATTCAAACGCTGGGTTTCGCCTGTCTGCCGTGTGAGCAAGCTGTTGTCGCGGAAAACAAGACTTAAAAAAAGTTCGGTTTTGCGAACTTTTAAAATTTACCTTTACAATTATATCTACTATGATGTATAATTTCTAGTATAACTATTATTTATAAATATATGATAAGTAAATCATCATGAACTTCGAGTTTGGCACGGTAGTAGCACGGCAAAGTTTGCTGTGTTAGGGTGGATTTCCATTGTCGCGTAATCTGTACGTGCGCACGCACGTTAATTTTAGGCGCGTAAATAAAATAGAAGCAGTGTATGGAAGGTCGCACGTAAACGCAAAAGTTGAAACTCTCGCTCAACTTTAATGTTTACGCGCGGCCTTTAATACATTGCCTCTACTTTATTCACGCGCTTATAGTTTACGTGCGTACGCACGTGAAAATTATCCGACATTGGAAATCCACCCTTATAAGGTGCGTAGTAACACTCCGCCCGCCTCGTATAACTTTTGCTATTTGCGGGTGGAGATGGCAAAATAATGTGCTTTAAATAAAGCATAGTGTGTGTGTATTTAGTTTCAAACGTCGTGCTACCCGGTCTTGCCGGATTCAGCACGTTAATAGCACGCAAGGCGTTTGAGACAGGCCCGAGTTTGCACCGGGTCAAAGTGACGACAGCCGAGTTCATTGCTTTCTTTTGCCGGGGTATGAGGGAGGGATTCAAATTTTTAAAAACAATCAGAAAGCCGAGCTTTATGCTAGATATGACACCCGATACTATTCAAACACTTCCAGTTAATACTGAATCTTGACTCTCCGCCGTCTCAGCTATAAACTGATTTTTAATCGTAGAGATCTGAGTTTTCAGTTAATCAGTCTCTCGTTTCTCCCCCACCTCAAAAACGTTGCCTTTTATAATCCGTGTTCCTGGAGCCAATGGTCCTATCCACTGATTTATCAAAAACTTAAGTGTTGTACACTACCAAGGAAATGTTAGCCACGACTTCGTAGGGTCGAATAAGGCACATTGTAAAATCTGCCTTCATCTTTTATGTTTTATCTTTAACAGGAAGCAGAGTTCAAATGGGATCCAGAGTTAAAAGGTATCAGAATATAATTTGCTTACCGTACGCAATACTCGATAATTTTCCATAGATTCACAAACTGGAACTTATAAATGTGTATATTCAGTAACAGTTACTTAAGATAGCTCGTATCGACGCATAAGATGGCTTTTATCCATCTTTGTATTGAGTGGAACTCAAGGTAATCCCCGTATCATTAAAACGTTTCAAGCATCTGAGAAAGAAGTGAAACCTGCTCTTCCCTCGCATTTTTTGCGCTCTCATCCAAACGCTTCGTTGGCGCGTTAAGGCTTACAACAGTTACAGGCACGAGATTAATTATCACGAATGCCTAGAACAATTGTGTTTCTAGAGTGTTTCAAATAATGACTTAAAACGGCTAATGATAAGAAAACACAAGATCACCAGACTGAAACGAAAACGCGCAGAGAGAAGCCCTACAATGTGAGATTCAGCATTATTTGACTTGACTGAGAAGTGAGCGAACATTAGAAGTATTAGTTAAAATTATTTCTAGTGTCTACAAGCTTGTATCATACAGTCACTATTGTGTACTTTTCCTTAGATGCTCCAAACGTTATCTGAGTCTCTTCCTTTGCCAGGTATAATCCTCGGTGCATTTTATTACGGTTACATGGTGTTCCAGATTCCTGGTGGATGGCTGGCCTTACGTCTGGGCGGAGCACGTCTTTTTGGAGCTGCGGTGCTTGTAGCATCAGTGTTTACCTTGATGACTCCTTTTGCGACCAGATGGAGCCCGGTTGCTTTGATATTACTAAGGATATTAGAAGGACTAGTGCTTGTAAGTGTACTCTATACTGAGAAGAAACGATGTGACAGCAACAAGACATCTTATATTTACCGTTTAGAGAGAGAGAGAAAAAAGTTTCATTAAAGGCTACTACCTTTTGCGGCCGACTTTACGCTAACGCTTTGCAGAAAAACTGTTCCAGTTTTAACCAAGAAAATACCTTAGGGTCTGGTGAAATTAACAAGAGTTTAAAATAAAACGATGCTGACTCTATCTTGTCATCTCCACCGATACTCAAGAAATGCCATGTTTGCTATCATATAAATCTTTATTTAATGGAATAAACAGCAGTGGTAGTTGCTTTTAATGTAGTATTTCAATTATAACTCTTTTTTTTTCAGCGTGCTTATTCAAACCTGAATGTAAACAAATTAACAAATTTTAACGAACTATGCTAGCCCTCCCTCCACTTATACTTGCGCGGCAAGAAACACCATATTTGTGGTCATGTGATACATCCCTATTTAATGGAAATTTACAGCAGGGGTAGTAGCTTTTATAGAGCATTTTTATTATTACTCACTTCTTTCAGTGCGCGTATTCACACCTGAATGTAAGCAAATTTCTGCCTTGTGATATAATATGGACGTTGGTACTAAGTGACAGCTCCTAGAATACACAGTGAGCCGAACAACTAAGCGATCCAGTGTGCATCGCAACTTAAAGGCTCTTTCATACAATTTTACTTTCACTTTAAAATATCCGCGAAAGCAATGGTGGGAGTGTCCATACAAAGAAATGGGCAGAACCGGACTGTTGACTAAGGGCGCTCTCCATTTGTCAGAACTGACCAGCCAGACCATTCCCGTCGCAAAAAGAATTTCCTTTTTAATCAAAACCCTCCAGCCAGATCAATCAAATCCTATATAGTATGCACCAAAGAGCTGGTTTTTCAGCAAAACTCTTGGAGAACGCCTATTTCATTTTCAAACTGACTGGTCAGGCAATGCTCCGGTCGGCCAGTTCTGACAAACGGAAAGCGCCCTAACAAAAACGTTCAGGTTCAGTTAGTACTTTCTAATGTTACTGTACTATTAGAGTAATGAACTGTTCGGTCTCCTCATTGAATTACTTCCTTTCTATCACAGTAAGACGTGTTGCATATATATTTCTTAGGGTGTCTTATTCCCATGTAACCACGCCATCTGGAGTCGCTGGGCGCCTTCTGCTGAGAGGACAACATTAGTAACTGTGTCCATTACAGGTGTGTGTTTTGCTCAATGATCACTCGTCATAACAGCCACTATTAAAGAAGCTGGGTCAAAAATTTAAGCCAAAGTTAGTTGGTGAGAAGTGACCACCAAATTGAGCAAAACAACCAGGAAATAACCGTAGAACAACGAAAACAGATTAATTAAATAACACAATCATTCAGTTCAGCTAATGGAAAAGAAGGAAGAAAAGAAAGTTAAAAGAAGATTAAAGCGGATTACAACTGTTTGTTCTCATATAACGAGCCAGCAACAGTTTGGGCTAGTAACAAATCTTGACTGGCTAAAAACAGGGGAGAAAAAAAGTAAAAAAAATATAAATAAATAAATAAAAAAATGATGAAAAAATCTATTTCAATAGCTTGCTGGAAAGTATTCGTTTAAGTTTCAAGACATTTAAAATCTGTCTGTTTTTTGCATTTCTGTTAGGAGCTAGCACTGGATATTTACTCACCATGCCTATTTCCGGTCTATTGACCAAATATGGTTTTGACGGAGGCTGGGCCTCTGTTTTTTACTGCTTTGGTAAGCATTGATTATTCTCACAGCCACACCAGGCTCCTTGGAGGGCTGCAGTTTAATTAATCCTAAATTAATCGATTTAGGGGAAAACAAGACATAATAATCTCTTAAGGGTATTTCAGAACTCTCACTTGTGACAAGACAACAACATCGATAAACTATATCCAGTTAATTTTGGTATTCGGTTCTTTTTTGAAATTTTGAAATTGTAAGGTTAAAGTTGTCAAAAGAAACAGTCTGTTTTTCAGCTCTAGAAACTAGCTTACACAGCGTTATTTGTTATTCATAAAACATGTGGTATAAATATCGTTCTGATCAAGCATATTAAGGTCATTATGGCTAGATATTCAGATATTGGCCAAGTTGTTGCTGGTTTTTTTTGCATTGCTATTTCTAGCCATCTTGACGCGAAAAGTTTGGTCAAAAAAGGATTTCCTATGTGATCAAAGAAAACATTTTCCTCGTAAAATATCTTATTTAATCTTGTTCTTGGAACTAGCCATATCAAAGAATAATGACCATTATTAATAATAGTTTGTATAACATTGTGGTTAGCACTCAATTTGACTAAATTTGCGTGACACTGCCCCGTTTAATTGATTGAATATTTCTTCCTTTACCAGGAGTGTTTGGTATTGTGTGGTACACTGCCTGGATAGTAGTAGTGTATGATTCACCCTCGGTGCATCCCACAATATCCGATGAAGAGAAAACATTAATACAAGCCACTACTCTGGATCTTTCCAAGGTAACGAAAGTAATATTAACAAAACTCTGAGTAACCTGTAAAGAGGACGAGAGATGCTGAAAAACGTTCTAAGCCAAAGAGGTTAGAGTAGACTGCGTGGCGGGTGTGTTAGTTAATTTGTTTAGTATTTAAAGAGCGCCTGAGGGAAACACGCGAAGACGGAAAGAGGCGGCTCTCCTTTCTCCCCTCATGCGCGTTAGTCTTCGAAATTTCTTCCTTCGCTTTAAAGAACCGGCACCTGCTACGCGCAATAAAGTTGAAAGTCACAAATCAAACAATCGACAGCTAGATACTGCACGTTGCACCACGTTACAGAGTTAGATTTTTCTTGATTTTATAGAAACTATGGAGAATTAAGAGAAAGTAAGCTCGAGAACTACATTTGTATAGCTGCCGGCCGGTGAGCACAGTTGGTCGAGCTCCCTGTCGATAATCTCGTACCCAGATGTCTTGTCGACGAAGCCAAAGGCGAGATCTGGTCACATCGCATTTGTAACGGTGATCGTCAGGAATGTGACAGGCGATGAAAGAGAGAATGCTTGAAATATATCCTCAAACTGGCGGCCGTGTTTCGACGTGTTTTAAAAGCAACGAATTTGATAGAGCCGTGAAGTTTTCTCTAACAAAACGTAGTTATACGTACTGATCAAGCATGAACCAACTAATTTGTTGTTGTTGTTGTTCAGTGAAACATTAAATGTAACGCGGCAATTAGTTTAAAATAAATTATCATGGCGCGCGCAAAAAGCTTAAAGCAGTTCGCGTCAACTTCTACAAGAGATTTTTTTTACCCTTTTCAAAATTATCTTAAAACCGAGGGAAAGTTTTAAAAAGTCTTCAAAGATAAGATTAAAACGGTTTTACAAGGCGGAAAATTACTTCCTCAGCGAATTTATTTGAACAGGAGGGCTGAAGACTATGCAAAAGGCCCGCGTCAAAGCGCGCACAGAAGTCAACCCTCACGTCATTCGCTCACAGTCTAGCCGATCAAAATAATTTTCCTTACTTGACCAGATTTCTCCTTTGGCTTGTCAACAGAGATTTGGGTACGAGATTACCCTGTCGAGCGTAAGGGGACTTCAGAGAACCCACACTGCTAGTCAAAAAGTAGGGGACGCAGATCCTGGTGATATGGGCGATCTCCTATATGCTCTATTTTTCTCATGGGTGTAGGGAACGGACTGTCAACACCGGTCGGCAGTAATTGGCTTCATGTTGTTGCGATGACCCTAAATACTAAACAACAACAACAACAACAACAACAACAAAACAAAACAAAAAGACAGTGCGGCTATGGAAGTCCTGGGGTGGGAACGATGCCACAGTTTGCACATAAAAGTGAAATGCAGTGCTCTAAAAAATATACGTTTACCTAAAACGAGTTTCAAAACGTATCGTTTTGCTGCATAGTCAATAAAATATTGGGGTATTTAAAATACTGGATAAGAGATTGTGGATGAAGTCTTAGAGCACGTTTTCTTGGTTTACCCGTATTTCAGGTTGATACGCTTCTTATTCCTTGGAAATCAATTCTTACGTCACCACCAGTATGGGGAATAGTAGCCGCTAACTTTGCACTGGACTGGGCATTTTATATTTTACTTATATCGATGCCAATTTTTCTATTAGACGTCATGAAAACATCCATCACTAAGGTAAATATGTTAAGTCATATAGCTGGCTATGTCTATAATTCCATTTCATATACATGTATAACAGAGGGTGTTATAGCCTGAGAAAAACAGCCGACATTTTGCGACTCCACCAGCGGTTTCCCCGCGAAAAGAGAACAGAGGAACGGGCGCAAAAATTCCATACTGATGACGAGTCACTACCCTGATCTGGGTGGTGCCTCTGATTGGTCGAAGCAAATTTCCCTTGCAACACGTTCAATCGTAAACATTACTCGGATATGCGTGTCACAGTCAACTATCTCTTAGACAGACAGCATTGGGACAGCTACTTTAAATATCCGTCTTAGAGAGATACCCACTGAAACTATAATATACAAAGAACAGAGTAGTAGAAAAACGAACGGCGACGCTACACGAAAGACTCGAAGCTCACATCTTTTAGGGAATCACAAGGCTTCAATCGGACTCAACGATTGAAATACACTTTACAGTACGACTTCTCTGATTGATACACATTTAATGTAAGACGTACTGATACGATACGTCTCATCCGTCTTATCAGAAAGACTAACAAAGAAAGGGTCTAAAGATCGGGCAATCCTGCACCTCTTATTTCACTGGTCCCCTTTAATCTGCACTTCCATTGTTTTCAGGGATAGGGGCATTGTTATGTGACAATCCCTATTGTTTTCCCAGCTAATCAAAAACAGTCTTTCAAATAGGTGCAGGTCTACTGTAAAGATCAACAGACTAATTTAGGCGTCAGTTTCAAGAAGGTATCGGTCCGAAAGAAGAATCTGTTTAAAGACGAGTTGCCGACTGAATATATGCTGTGCTTTTATCCTTGCTTCAAATTTACTTTTCCCCTTGTTGTTAGGTGTGGAAGTGTATGAAAGTGAGTTTCAAGAGAGGATAAAAATACACTTTTCAGCCAAAGATAAAATTGAACCACATTGCATATAAACACAGAATCTAAAGGCCGACCGTGTGATTGAGTAGTTGTATATTGGCTTCTTAATTGGCTTTATAAAGAATAAAGCTTGAAAAATAGGTTGAACTAGAGTTTTTAATCGTAGCCTGTACAAGAACGAATTTCAACTGACTAAGTTGCAACGGCTCTACTTTATTATATTGATTTTAAATCAATTTAAGTATCCAGTGAAAATATTTGCTAGTTATCTATGGAATATTGACCCTAACAGAGCTTGAGCTATCACGGGTAAAAATAAAGTAAACTGACGTTTTGTTTTCTTACGTACTTTTGCTTTTGCCTTTGACGAAACTGATAGATGCAAAAGAGAATTAAACAACGTTATTCCATCATGGTTTAGATATTTTGACACACATTGAACTACCTTTTAAAGGTTTCTACGAAAATCGTTTTACTGCTTTTACATATTTTGCCAGGGGTAATGTTTGATTTCTGATAAAACAATGCATTTTTCTCTGATTTAGATGGGTTTCTTAGCTGCGGCGCCTTTTCTTGTTAAAGGTGTGTGTTCTCCCATGTCAGGATTAGCAGCAGATATTCTGAGGAAGAGCACAGTATCAACAACAGCTGTTAGGAAAATATTTTATGCAGCTGGTACGTAACTTAGAACTTGAGAGGGATGTTAAATTTATACAAATGGTTTTATACGCTATGTATGAGTTATTTAGCAGGCGTGAGGTCAAGGATGTCTGGATATTGACCAAGAACCGTCAGCCCCAAAAGTGGTCCTGGTTGCTTACGACAGGTTTTAGGGCTATGACTGGACAAGTTTTGATGTTTAGGTGGTCGCTTATTGGAGGTAGTCTGGTGCAACGTCGGGCGCACATCGAGGTTGGACTGTAAGACAATCCAACTTGCCACGGTATCGAAAGCGTTGTAGAAATTAAACTCATTTTATTCTTTGTAATATAAGGAATTCTAGCTTTGCATTCGGCTTTCGTATGATCTCGGATAACGGTATCCACCTCGGCCGTCCTCGATCCGCATAAATCTTCACATCATACTCAGTCTCATTCAATATATAGTGGAATTCATGTAGTATTTAAAATATCAACCAGATTTTCTGGTTGTTTCATTACAGGTGCGATAGCAAGTGGATTTTTAGTCCTGATAGCTGGCTATTCTTTAAACGTCACAGTTGTGGTCGTCTGTATGAGCCTTGCTGGTATGACGACGTCACTAGCATTCCCAGCATACACTGTGAACATGCTGGACATTGCTCCGCGATACGCCAGTATCATAATGGGTATCTGCAACACAATCGGCACCACTGCTGGCTTCGTTAGTCCAACTGTTGTAGGTTTTATCACGCAACATCAGGTTGGTATTTCTCAATCTCCTTACAGGGTTCTTTCCTACTCGTTCTTAGGGAGCCCCCTGGAAAACTTTAGTCACGAGGGGAGGGTGGAAGGCCGGGGCAGATTGTTTATTCCTCGAAGTACCCAGTAGGCCATGTAACAACAATTTTGTCGCCGATTGAGGGTAAAATATTAACTATTTACGTAGTTTGTTTAATTTCATGTCATCGGAAGTAAAAAAATGATGCTAAATAGAAAAACAATTTATATTAATAGATGGGACCAAAGTGTGCCAAGGAGCACAGAATTTGGCAGGTTTCTGGCATAAGTCTTGTGATTCCAGATCAGACATGTCCTTGCATCTCTTGCAGTCCTACATCTGACTCAGCATTTGAGTCGATGTATGAGTCTTCGATTTAACTTGAGATCAGGCCCAAGTTTAGCAGGTCTCACATATTCTTTCTTACCCGCGAGAATGTTATAAAAATAACAAAATCTAAACCTAACCAAAACAATAATTGAACCTGCCGACACATCCACTTTACCTATTTCGTATCAAAGTTACTTTAGAAACTGACCCTTTATTAATCAAACTTTTTTATTTTAGACTAACGTTTTACTTAGTAAGCCTTTTGCCTTCTCTTACAGTCTGCAAAAGAATGGCAAGGGGTGTTCTGGATAACATTTGCTATTCTACTAGCGGGAACTGTACTTTTTTGCCTGTTTATGTCTGGAGAACGTCAAGAGTGGGATAAAACTGAAATGCAAAAAGCTGCAGATGATACGGTGGAATTACAAGCTGAAACTCCGGGGAGTTGAGGAATCTTCACTGCGCACACTTAGGCCTGATATCCTCTTTTGTCTATACAATTTGTCTATACGCAGAAATTGCGCCCAAAATCACAGTTCGTCTGGTTTTCGTACCGGTGCAAGAACTCTCCGTCATAGTGTGAACATGACCTAAGATGATCTAAGATGATATCTCAATGTACAGTTTTGATTAACAGTTTTCTGACAGTTTTACAAATTTTCACCAAGAAAATCGGCAATGGATGGCCTATGAGACACTACAATTGTAGTTGACCTACAAATAATTCCGATTTAATAGGCAGATTAATTGGTACGAATAACCTAAAAATTTTTTATAAGTCTGCTTTGAAAACGTTTTGCCTACGATATTCTTTTTTATTGTCTTCTCCTAATTGGTTTTGACCGTTTTGAGTGTTGAGACATACGTTACGTGATTAAATGCCTAAACCGCCTTTTGAGCGAAAGGGAGTGACTTATAGATCCAGGAGCCTCCTGCTAGATCATTATAATTTATTCTCTGTGCCTTGTAAGTTTATTGAGTGGATTCATTTGTACTATAGTTAATAGAGTGGAATAGCGTAAAATTCCGAAAATAAGCCCCGGGGCTTATAGTTTTCAAGGGCCTTTTTTGAGGGGCTTATTTTTGGAGGGGCTCATATTCGGAGCGGCTTATCTACGGAGGAAAATTTGCGTTTCAAAATCGATTGTGCTAGCCTTATAGTTGGAAGTAAATTTACCGTTTTTGCTTTGTTTCACTTTGTATTTGGGGGCAATTTTTCAAGTACAAGCCACCGGAGGGCTTATATTTGGAGGGGCGATTTAACGGAGGGTTTTTTGCGTTACCGGTTTGGGGGGTTTATATTTGGACGGGCTTATACATGGAGGGGCTTATTTTCAGAATTTTACGGTATATGGTTATGAAGCCCGTCAGATTTCTTTGTTATGTGACTCATTACGTTTTGTTTTTATAGATTTTTCGGAATTAACTGTGCACAACCTTCAGTTACTAACCAATGAAAATGTCGCAATAAATTTATTCTGTCACAATTTTTGAAATTAAAACAAAGGATTGTGCACAGCAGGAGCGCTCCTGAAGAAAACCTAAAAACTTCACACAAAGGAATTTTTGACCGGCTGAAGAATTTGACAATACACTTCCTTTACACGAAAAACAAAATTTTCTCTCTGTACACAAGAAACGCTTTTCATAACCGGCGAGCAAGCTCCCCTATTTAGTTTTGTGCGAGAGAACGCGCGAGCGAGCGGCGAAGCCGCGAGGGGCCGAGGGAAGAAGAGCTTGAAATGATCTCTCATAAATTCTCATTTGTACTTCGCCCAGACGGAGGAAACTACTATTGGCTGAATAAATCAAAGTCAAAGTCAAATCAAAGTTGATTGATAACAGGCCTAGGTGGCCTGCCCTAAATTTTCGCGGCAAATGTAGAAATACGATGCTCTTATCGCCAACACACGTGTTATGTTGGCGATCTCTGAACTCAGTGAACTCACTCCGTAAAAGAAGGCCGGCAGAGGAAGAAAATCTCTCTCTCACTCTCTCTCTCTCTCTCCTTAATTCTTTGAGAGATAACTGTCGTCTCTGTGTCAAATTTGGTTCTCAGGGGGATCATATTGGAACCGAGAACTTGTTTCAGCCAAGCGCTCGTGTGATGTAAGCTTAGAATATTGCGAGCAGGGGATAAGTCGGGCTGAGTTTGTAATTCTTCTGAAAGGAAAATGTCCATCAGTTGTATTGATTTCGTTTGAGTCAAGCGCCTTGTTTAGCTCTGAAAATGAGAAGAGTGAAAGTGAAGAGAAAGTCAAGCACCCGATTCAAGCGCTGCCTTCCAGCGTCACTTCGACCGATTGAATTCCACTGGGTAGAAAAATTCAGTAACATGTACATTACAGCGTAGCTGACGAAGAATTAGCAGTTGACCGTCAAGAAGGACAATAAAACGAGTAGGAAGCAACTGTAGTAAAACGAAAGAGAACCAAGTCCAGGAAAAAGCTGTTCTCCAGTTGGTTATTGCGACAGGGAGCTTACTAGTCTTCTGAATGTAGACGACCTTTCATATGTAAACGAAACGAGAATCAAAATATTGAGCTCTTATCCGATCGGACATGTTGACGTTCGTTTTTCAGTGGATAAAAACAAAAATCAGTCAGTGGTAAAAAACGTTGTTTTGATGCGGCTCATGTTTGCGTAACAGTTTTCACGCTTTGCGGTGTCCCGCGGTTTTTCGGGGTGTAAATGAAAATTTATGAAAGATCGTTGCAAGCTCCCCTTTCTCCCCCCCACCCCCCGCTTTCGCGTCTCCTCTCGAGTATCAAATTTTCACGATATCCCCAAATGGAGAGGTTTCTCGCAGGCTAACACGGAACTGACAAACCAGATGGAATTGTAGCTGTTTTCCGAAGTTTCACTATTTGCCCATGCGCAGCCTGCTACTTAAGCAAATCCTGAAAACGTCGTCTAGCTGATTTACCTCGCATCCATGCAACCACGCCTTTGCCGTACAAAATGTTAGACGGTTCACACCTTGTCGGCCAAATTTTCCGTACCCAAATTTAGACGGTTATGGTGTTCACATAGAGTCGGTCAAATCCTCGACCGAACCGGTTAAAAATTTGACTTCGCGATCGATTTTAGTGTTCGATTTTGAACGGCTAGGCGTTCAAATTTTCGTACTGCTAGCTTTGTTCCGTGTGAACAGAACACCTGAATGTACGCGGAATTTTCGACCGCTCGAAATTTCGTCCGGTTCTGTGTGACCAAAGCCTAGACGTGTGAATTTTTCTTACGGCTGGCTTGGTTCCGTGTTTGCTGTTAAATTAGCCAATTCTTCAATGTTTACTGTTTCCGGAGAAATACTGTTTTGTTTTTTGAGGGTTTTTGTTAAAAAATAGTATCTGGACACTATAAAAATACTTAATATCTTTTACATGCGAAATTAACGACGAAAATATGGTCGAAAATGCTCGGATTTCTCGTTGGAAATCTTTGGCAGTCTTCGGACATGTTCGGAAATCTTCGCCAGCTTTTGAGAATCTTCGGTAGTCTTCGACAATCTTCTGAAAGAATCGGAAAACGTTCCAGAATAGCCAAAAACTCTTTGATATACTAAACAAAATAATACTGGCCCCTTTGGAGCTGTCTTTGTTTCTTTTTGGAAAGAATTTACTGTCATGGTGAGTTTTTCAATTAAAATTGTTAAAATGCCTATACCTTAACTGTTTCATGTTACAGAGCCAGAAAATTAAGTGTTTAGTGCTGTCGAGGTACCCCCATTCAGATCCTCTTCCACTGGTCGACAATTTCGTCCGCTGGCGTGTTAAAGTAGCCTGAACCTTGGACCTATCAGTAACTTCATTCAATACCCATTCTCTGTTTTGTTCCCATTTTTTATTTTTATGTTCCCTGTGCTCGTTTTAGCTATCATGGCTTAACCTTTACGGGTTTTTGTAAACAAATAGCTTGATTATAGACCACATTACTTGTATGTTCTGTTTAAGCCATGTTTCTCATGTGATGTTTCCAAGGAGATTTGCCCTTTTTAAAAATTATGCGACTTACACACTTGTATAATTCGAAATTTCAAAGAAATAGTTATTTAGAATAATCTCTTGACCCAGATTGAGGAAACAAAAAGTAAAATTTAAAGAGGAGTTCTATGTAAGCAAAACTACAATAGGTAAGGTTTTTTACATTTTACCATAAATTCTTCTTGAGATGATCAAAGAAACACTTTTAGGCAGGATATTGGCTGATGCTTAGCCTGAATTCTGTTAATATTCTACACTATCAGGACTATCACTTTTCTTTAAACATTAAAAAAAAAAAATACCCCGAAAACTAGCCGGGACCCGGGCTGGAAGACTTGGGAATCTGACATTTTCCGTCTGCCGTAAAGGCGGTGGTAAATCCCTCAAATAATAATTTTTCAGGAATCCCTAAGTGTTTCAGATGACTGTCAACTTAATGTTTAATTCATCGTAAAAAAATAAACACAGGTAGATAACAAAAGAAAGTATTATCATTATTGAGTTATCGGGTTATCCCTTTGGTTGTATTTGTAGCATCACTTTATGATCAAAAAAGGGTCGTTGCTTTATAAAGCAAACATAAGGACCGCGAATGAAACGAAGGGTGTGGAACTTTTAGGAGCTGAAGAATTGTAATCTTTAAAGTCCATGCCAAAGTACCTGTTATAAAATTTAATTTAGATTTAAGGACAGGTAAAACAATGAAGGGACGAAAACAAGTTTGCACTCTTTAACCAACGTATCTTGTTTCAGCCGTGTCGAAACCTGTTAGATTACTGAAAAATGAGTTTAAACGGGGTGCCGAAGAGATATGTTCTGTCAATCCTAATCTTCTGGGGATTTTTTACCATGTACGCACTGCGGACCAATATTAATGTGGCCATAGGCGCGATGGTCAAAAATCACACAGTGTTCAAGGATGGAAAGGAAATCGAGACGGTAGGAAAATTAAATAAATGGTCAACAGCTTTTAGAATATTCACCGCTGCTGAGTTTGTTGGGCAGTGTTGAACAAGCTACTCAAACGAATTCAATTCCTTGCTCCCCACACTCGTCAACAGGTGAAGCGTTGAATGTTCTAGCTTGGTCACACATTGTCAAGGTCAAAACCCGTCAATATCAAGGCGAGGTATTAAATTCGCTTGTCAATAGAAGCAGGTTGCTTTGTTTTTGGTATATATTCAAGGTAAAATATAGAGAAATATAGATCACTTTCTCTTTTAAGCGATATTCAGCGACATCATTTCTACTTATTTTAAAACAAAGACACGAAGCACATAAAGCGCTCTCCAGCTGAGTATGAGAGTACCGGTGTGGTACAATATTGTGAGCAAATATTTTCTTGCATCTCTTATCTAGAGTCCCGTACATATCCTTTACGTTTACGACCATTTTTAGATGACGCAATATTGTACATAGCACAACTCCTATACTGGGCTCCCTGTTATCCAACGAGTGAAATTTTGCGTGAGTCTGGAACTGGCTGAGGGTGGGTGTGTCACGCATGCGTAGTACGTGCCACGGGAAAGCTAATAGATTTGAATCAGTGATCATTTAGCCTCCAACGTAGACGTTCTTAGGACTTGCTGGACGAGCCAAAAAACGCCCGGTTCCTAAAAGGCCGATTAGCGCTAATCCAGGATTACAATTTTTTTCCCATTTTTGTAGTTACCTTCCTTTGTGTTGCTTAGAGTACCATTTTGTGTTGTCATTACTGTATCTTGGAGTAAAAGCTCAGCAGTATCTTTTAGCTCGAATTACATGTTCTTAGACAAGAAAATCTTGCTTAAAAATGTGGCTTAATCCTCGGTTAAACTTAACCATCTTTCGAGGAACTGGGCCTAGGACGTTAGCTCCTGATACAACAGTGATTCACTCCACCAGGAACTCCTGGCAGGTTATGGGTTCCTCACTCCAATTACTCATCAATCCCGAAAAAGCAGCAAAATTGTTGTTAGAAGATGAAGAGGCAGAAAAAAGTAGCTTCCAACATTTTTCAGCAGTTTTTCTTTCTTTTAAACATTGCTCCGATTCCTTTTCAGTTGGCGAAATAATGAAGGAAAAAATGCCAAATTTTTGGTGAATAAATTTTGCACCATTTACTTGTTTACATTACAGGTTACAAAAGCATCCTTTTAACCTGCTTAAAAAACCGTCTTTTTCGCTTTAAGTGTTTATAACCGAAGAGTGCCGTGGACATCAACTTCTCCTCTAATTGTAATCAGCATGTTAGGTTTCAGCTTTTCACGAAATATATAAAATGACGGGTGAGTGTTCAAAGCTAAGTAAACGCGAAGGCAGAGTGTCTGTGAATCTTGTCACACAATTTGAGATAACTGGCAAGAAGCTGTATTTTGCCAATAGTTGCCGAAACTAACTGAATAAGTTCGACTTTGGAGCGACACTGGCGCGACATCTGATTCAGACGGCGTACCGTGTGTCGAACCTAAGTTAAGTTCGACAAAAGTTCGACAGACTCTGTCGAACTTAACGCTTTTGCCGCACCAAATTAAAACTGCCGTACCAAACTGATTCAGACGCTGCTCTTTTGCCGTACTTAAGGTTCGGGACATGAGTGGAGCGGCGTCTGAACCGGGCCTAAGTATGAACAAAACGAGCGTTACCGGGCTTTCAATTATAAACTCTTAAAGCTAAAATTAAGAGCGTGTAAACGTGTATTTGTTATGTTTTTACCCGTTTTACTTGTTAACCTTTGATTGGGAGCGCATGTCATTGTTTTAGAACATAAACTAGAAAATAGTGGTATTATTAATCCACCCAAGCAGTCAGGAGAAATACTAGAAATAGTTTATTGCGCGACCTTCGAGTTTATAAGAGGTTTAACTGGAGCGGTTTTACTGTTCCCAGCATAGCGTAGAATTAAAAGTGAAGGACGATAATTATGAAAACAAATTGTTTGGTTTTGAACTTTACAGGCAGCAGAATTTAAATGGAGCTCAAGATTACAGGGTAAGTTTCTGTACACTGATCATACCAATAATTTTAATTACATCACAGTTGTTATATTTACAGGCCCAACTCAAAATCCCTAACAGCGAATAGACTTTCCTTGCCCTGTAGTAAGGACTCACTCCTGGATATCAATTGCAAAAGAAAGCCGCTCACCCCACATATCAAAGCAGCAATGTTGCGAGCCATTACATGCGTTTACTTGGGTTGAGAAAATACTAATATATAGATTCAGCCCTGGTTAATGAAGAGCGAAGCGTCCATTTATATAATTTTAATTACTGAAAACCAAAACATTAGAACGAATAAGCTGTCATGAACTCACTGGGTAGCAAAAGTTGTTTTTCTCGTTCCTTCTAATTTTCGGCGGCCGTTACAATCGCTACTTTCGAGACCTACAGCTAAAAATTTACAGGCTACCTAATTTTAATATGCTCTTTCAGCTCGTGCAAACAAACGTTTTCAAAAGCGAACTGTTTTCCTGTTTACTAAAAGTTGATCACGTGATTAACAAATGCAAAAGGCCTATTCAATGGTTTCAATTGTATGCAATAAAATAGAAACATTGCAGCAGCTACAACCCAATTTGAAAAGGAGTGGGTCGAAAGCGGGCGCTGCCAGCACCGTGGGAGCCTCGCGAAAAGGTCAAGGTCAGCAAGATGTCTTCACTGCCCAATTTATTTTCCGAATGCTGAAATAAAGAGAGTGGTAATTGATTCTGATGTCTGTCTTGCTGACTTTTCTTTGACTTCGACCGACCAGAAACTGAAATATATCGCACATATATATGTCAATCCCACTTCTGCTTATTGAAAAGACAATTTTCTTAATGAAATCTCTGTTAGAACTAAGATTCTTTCACAGAATTAATTAATAAATAACATACACGGCGTAGTACCCGGGTCGAGGGAAAATTATACAACTCACTCCCAACTTCCTGTCTCGCTTAACAATCGCATAAATGCTTATGCACTTTCCTAGTTCCCAAGTGATCACACTTTCCCAAATTGAGTTATTATGAACGTAGTTTGTGTTTGTGGCTGATCAAACTTCTAATCATTGTTTTCATTCTAAGTCGTAATTTTCATAGTGGAAAAATGAAAGGTTTAATGAAATAGTTATTGTTCTTCCAGGTGTGGTTCTTGGTTCGTTTTACTATGGTTACGTAGCACTTCAGATCCCTGGTGGATGGCTTGCTGTTAAACTGGGGGGTACTCGTCTATTTGGTCTTGCAGTTTTAATAGCTTCAGTTCTTACAACACTAACTCCTTTAGCCGCTAGGATCAGCGTTCTACTGCTGATAGCTGTCAGAGTTGGCGAGGGACTGGTACTAGTAAGTATCAAGATGCTGTCATCTTTAACTTTTTTTGCAAAAAAATTCGGATTAATTGTTTTGGAAGGGCTGTCCGCACAGCTACGTCCGTGTTACCCTCTTCGCTGATACGGAAGTAGTATAGTACGAATGTTTTTAGACCACTTTTGCGCTGGTCTCCAAAACCCAACATTGAAGTCCAACCTACCAGCTCAGCCTTGGAGAAAAGTCCCCTACCAACTCCACGGCTTCTCCTAGAAAATTGGCTTATGCCTATGCCACTTAAAACACCACTGACTGAACCTCTTATAACCAGAACTAGTTTCTCACTAAAACTATGTTTAATTCCTTACTCATTCTACATAATGTGATCACAGGGAGTGTTGTTTCCTTGTAACCACGCCATATGGAGCAAGTGGGCACCCAGTATGGAGAGAACCACTTTAGTTACAATTGCAGTCACAGGTAAAACACCCCGTAAACCTCTCTTAAATTCAACCATTCCCCTTAATGGCCAATTTCGGTTGTAGTTCTTTTGATAATCAAGTTTTGTTCATACGCCACTTGCAAATCTTCCATAATACACCTCATTTGCCCCCCAAAGTTTTGCATAAGCATTTTTTTCAATTTCACTTCGGACGGCTGTAATACCCAGGAGAAATGAAAAACAAAGGCTATGCAAAATTTTAGGTGGCAAATAAGGTGGATTATGGGAGATGTGCAAGTGGTGTATTAATTAGTATTTCCTTCGTCATGTAAAGCGAGAGAAAAACGTGTAACAAACTTCTGTTCCTCAGCTTCTCAAAATAAAGTTTTGATGTTTTGACATAAGAAGTATTTTGGCACCTTAGCCATTCATTCAAAAGTGATAATCGAACCTTGTCTTTTTTATTACTCCGGCCCTAGCATAGTTTCTTTACGTCGATTTAGCCCTTACGGACGGCCGGGTTTTTCATTTGTACTAAGTAATGTACACCTTTATTCGTAAAAAAATTCGACCTTAAGTGAGAGGGAAAACGAAATATTTATAACCTAACACGTATAGTAATTTTTAAACTTGAAATTGAGAGAATGAATAATCTGTTCTTTTAAGAAGATGCCTGTTGGGACCGGATGAGCGCCTCTTGTAGTAAGTTACTAAAGCGAAAACCGAAATAAATTCAAAATGTTTGCTTTTTGCTTTTAGGTTGCACTGTGGGTAGTATAGTATCAATGCCAGTCTCTGGTTTATTAACAAGAATCAATTTAGATGGCGGATGGCCAGCAGCGTTCTACACATATGGTGAGCAATAGTGTTGTTTGGTCAGGAATAAGCCATGATTTTCACATTGTCATAATACACACTGGTTTCCCCACCAAATTTTGATAACAGCAGCATCCAACTTATCCTGGGTACTGAAAACAATGCTTATGCAAAACATTTGGATGGAAATAAGACGTGTTGTGGGCTATGTTAAAGTCGCTCACAGATTTTTCTATTAGGCCCTTTGGATGATTAATACTAGCTACAAGGAAGCCGTGTTTACTAGCCTTAGGGTGATACAATGGCCCGCTTTTCCTTATAGCAGTTATAGCATGTAAAACAACCTCTTTACTATAAACTTAATCCCAATGTTACCCAAAACCTGTCGAAAACAAAAGAGGAATAAACGAAGCTTCTCAATTCTGTGCTTAACATGAATGAGGTTGGAAATATGCGAGTTTTATCACGTTTTTGAGGAACATGTTACTTACCGATAGGTCACCCACAAGTTACCATGACCAACACTTAGCAGACAGTCGGCCAACAGTCGGGCGATAGATGATAAAAGTTGATAGTGAGCAAGCTCGGTAGGCTGCCGGTTTTGAGGAGTTGTTCTTAAGAATTACCACCAAGATACACTCGGTCATTGAGAGCTTCAAAGATGGCACGTATTGATTATTAAGTTTCATGAGTGTGATATTTTCTTTACCATACAGGAGTTTTTGGTATCCTGTGGTATGTAGCATGGTATATTTTAGCATTCGAGTCTCCATCCGTTCATCCAACCATATCAGAAGACGAGAAAGCCTACATTGAGTTAAGTGCAATCAATATGGACGAGGTAAGAATCCAAGGCTTCTTTGGCCCATAGTTAACTGAGTGGAATGGTTATGAAACCCGTCAGACTACTTTGTTATATGTTTTTGTGGACCTGAAAGTGCACAACGTTCAAAAGAATTCCTATCATTTTGATTGTATTGACCAATAAAAACGTTGCATTAATTTATTCCGTAACAATTTGCCAACAGAAAACAAAGGATTGTGCACTTTCACGGTGCTTTGAACATGAACTGCAGCACTGTTGTTTTTATCATTGATGTTTGCCGCTTGTCATAACCAGTCTCCTCTAATAACTATGTTTGGCCTAAGAAGAAAAGCACCATGATAAAGCACCAAGATAATTAGCAATTATTGCATTCGACCGCGTTCAGCGTGAGTATGATCTGAAGAGTTATGGAGACGGAGGAGTGTACCTATAACACAGTCCGAGATCTGCAAAATTCTTCAGATCATACTTAAGCTGAATCCAATAATGGTTTTAATATCTATTCAAAATAATTTCTAGTTTAAAAGCAAGCTAAAACAAGCTCTAACCTTCAACTTCTTCCTTATTTTTTCCCGCTCTGACTTTGCGCCAAACGCCACTACTTGAACGCTTGTAACAGGTTATCCTTCGAATGAGATCAGCCCTGACGAAAATAGTGACAATATGATATCGCGTCGGGCAATTTTTGCTTTTTCTAAATTAATGCAAGTTTCTTCCCTCTTTAAGCAGCTCCACGCCCACTGTACTAAATTATTTTGACATTTGACGCAACCTTTACAGGTAGCTCGAGGCACTGTACCATGGGGGGCCATCCTCACGTCACCTCCTGTTTGGGGGATCATAGCAGCTGCGTTTGCTTCAGATTGGGGCTTATACGTGTTACTTATATGCGTACCGCTGTTCCTAATGGACATCTTGCACTACGAAGTTGCAGCAGTAAGTCTGAAATGATTTCTGCGAACTCATTCGTCTCTCATTTTCGGTGTCTAGGGGCGTACGCTCGC